ATCCCGTAAAATGTAGTGATACGATCCCACGTGGTCTTGTTACTCCTGGTGGGGCAATCACAGGTAGCACGGTATAACGACCGCATTGACTATAGACAACAATTACCCATGAATGCAATGTGGCAAAGACGAAAAGCTCCACATTATCCATCCAGTGGGTAACGCCACAACCACGATCTTGAGTCCACCTGCAACGCCGAAACCCATTATCTATTCCGTCGAAAATTCCATCGTAGTATGGTCTGTAAAGCTCAGGTCGGGCTTCAAGCTCTTCTACAACGCCGCGTCTCATCTGCAACCAATTTTTTTGGGACCCGGTAAGTGCTTGTGATATTGCTCGAAATCCACAATGTCCATCCGGTTCTGGGTTGAACCAACCACGAATGTATGGTTTCACGTAAGTTTCCAAATAATACAACCACGGGTAACTCCGCCAACCAGTATTGGGAGTCCTGATAACCCTCTAAGGGGCACCATCTGTCCCAAAATACACAACACAATGAATTAATACAAGATTATACAACATCTAATCATATAAAATAGGGACACTACTTCTAACCTGTATCATTATGAGTATCCGGCTCCGTCCCATTCGTATTTGTGGACTCGAAGTTGGTGTCTGCATCAGGGATACCATCTAATATCATTTACAAAAATAAGTTAGTTGTACATCATATTCTACACAAGTGAACATAAATTTCCCAAAAAGTACAACCTACCTGTCCTCTGGTCATTGTCCGGTGTTGTGGTCGAAGGTATCGAACTTCTCCTGCCCCGTCTCCTCTCCACATGCTCGAAATGAGATAGGTTTCGCGTGGTGGATGTCCTCGGGCGACCGGGTCGGGGCTTCCCCCCATGCGGCTCATCAATGCCATCATTTTCAGGATGAAGATGACTCCGAAGTAGGCCAATAGCCCCTCGAATGGTCTCATCTCCCCTATCAAGAACCTCCTGTACTAGACCTTGGAAGACATCACGATGGTAAAGACTATCGTCATCCCACTCTGCCCGAGTAGGAGGTTCACGATAGTTCATGATGGTCCAAAAAGCTAACACCTCATATGGGGCAATGTCCCGCTTTTCAGAACGTGCTAACTGCATTGCACATCTACATGGGAGACCAAAGATAGCAGGAAACGTACATGTACAGCTTGCTCCTTCCACTGATACCTCAATGAGCATCAACCTCATAGCCTGTAGAGTGACGTTTGTATGCAACTCCCGAAATGGTCTTCCGTCTGCTAGTAACATCTTCTTTAATCTAGAATCCTCTAGAAGCTTTTGGATTTGAAGATGTTGAGCCTCAATGTAATCATGGTTCTTCTTATAAACCTACAAACAAAGAAAGAAAATTAGGATACTAGATTAAGTAAAACTTCTAAAGAAGACATAAATGAAAATTTATTAAGAGACTAACCGTGTCGATTGCACCAGTTGCTGATTGAAGCCACTTCTTGAAGGATGAATGAGCATATTCAACCCGATTTGAGCTTGTATTACCCAAATGTCGCACTTGGTTTGTATAACATGTTGCCCACATATGCTTGTTTGGTAACCACTCATGTGACAAGTACCCCCAAAGACGTGGATACTGTACTCCCCAACTACGCCTGAAACTGTCTAAAGCTCTATTCATGCCTTCCTCACTGCTGGCATATACAATCCTTTTCCAAGACGCCATGATCAGATCCACTGTCGGTTGGGCTGCATCTATCCCACAATGAGACGTCCTCCTCACCTCCGTTAGACACCGTGCTCTCACATTCCTTTCTACATGCCAAAGGCATAGTATATGAGTCGATGATGGAAACATTACCCCCACGGTCTCAACCAATCCTCCTGCTTTGTCACGAACAAATACATCTGGAGTGATAGAGCCAAGCAAATGTTGCAGATGCGTGAGAAGCCACTGGTACGACTCTTTTGTCTCGTCATACACTAGCGCAGATGCAATGACAAAGTTCAATCCCACCGGTGTCATGCCAACAATCTCAACCCATGGAAACTCATACTTGTTGGTCTTGTATGTTGCATCTATCACAATGACATGGTGCCAAGCTCGCAACATCAATATTGACTCAGGGTGGGCTAGGAACAAGTGTGTAAGCACGTTACGGTCATCCACATACTGCACATAGTAACCCTTTTCCCGAGCATCTTGAAAAGTGTATTGTAAGGTCGTCCTCTGACCAAGCTCTTCTTTTCTTATCTTATACAATGCGTTAGAAATTTGTCTTTTGTTCGCCTTTCCATGCTCCTCTTTTCTCTCGTTCACTGCCTTGTGGATATTCCTTGGGGCGACACCGGCTAATCTCAGTTGTCTGATGTATTGCTTATCATCTTCGGTCAAAACATTCCTCTTACTTGATCCATTCGGAAATAGCTCCAGCGGATGATTGTGAAAACCCAAATTAGCACCAGGATTCTTTGTATTAGCCACTGCTAGTATCAACCAATATCCATCATCTGACCGCTCAATCTTGATCTGAAATTCACACCCCAACTTTCCAGAAGAAGTAAGAGGCCTCCTTTCCTTAGCCGGATCAGAATCAGGAGCCTTCGATTTTTTCTTTCTACCATGAGTGCACTTCAAGTATCGTCGCCTACTCTCTTCATTTGGATTTTTTTTATTTGATGCCTTCACCAAATAAAACCCAAAACCCTTGGCAATCTCAGTAGCTGCTGCATATGCAATCAAATCCGTATCGTATTTTACTCCATTGACGAATTTTGAGGTGTAATCTTTGCCATCCCCTCCGTAATCATCAATATCCTACAATGTTAGATCTCATGATATAAGTAGGACTCCACAATAATAGAAAATCTAACGACTACATTTAATTTAACAATTATCACAAATAATTTAGCATTCTGAATATTCTCCTAAGCAAAATCCAACATTTAACATGACAAAATTTAGCATTCTCTATTATTTACATAAGAATCATATTAATCACATTCTAGAATTTTTTTATTGCGTGTTATACATCTAATCTGAATTTTGTATACAAAAACATTCAATTTCACAAATAATTAGGCTCATAAATTTTAAAAATAATATAAACTAAAATTCAACAAACAATCATATAGACCAAACTATAAATCATAACAAAAAAATAGAAATATTTGATATAAACTTAAAAAAAACCCAAAAGCCACCAACAGAAGCAAATTTTCGGTTCCACCATGGCTAAACCGAAGCCAATTTTCGGTTTCACCATGGCCTAACCGAAGCCAAGTTTCGGTTTCACCATGGCCTAACCGAAACCAATTTTCGGTTTACCCATGGACCAAACGAAGCAGATTTTCGGTTCATCCATGGCTCAACCGAATGTGATTTTCGGTTGGTCCATGGTTCAACCGAAACCAATTTTCGGTTGAACCATGGACCAACCGAAAATCACATTCGGTTGAGAATTTTTGGGTTTTTTTTTTTAAAACGAGATTTTTATCTCGTCGGAGTCGCTACTCATTGTTCGGACGTATGCTCGACGATTTCGGCTTCCAAATGTCGATGATGAATTCGAGAGTGTGGGAGAATGAGTGTTTTTTGCTTTCTAAGTGAAGGTGGTGTTTGTTTGCTAAAGGAAAGGTAAAGATGTTAAAAGGTTAAAGGTGTAACTTTGTTGTTTTTTAGGACGATCATTAGTAATTGTTAGGACGACCTTTATCAACTCCCAGGATTTATTGCTCTATACGATTGGTAAGAGTGATTTTGGGTTAGAGATTAGAAGTTGTGATGCTTTTAATTCCTCTTGTAACTTCTGATCTCTTGTCCTAACTTTTTTGGAGACTTGGCAATTTGTCAAGAGTGTTTCAATGGAAATTTTAATTACCGGGAAAAAAAATGTTATATTATTTGTAATCCTTTTATGATAATAAGTTATAACAATTTCGATCCCCTCTCGGTAATAATTTTATGTTGAATGATCAATGATGTTAGTATTTTGTACTTAAAAGACCAAAAAATCATTGCATAATTCTACGGCTTAATTAGTTTTAGTTAAAAAGTAAAATACCAAGCGGGGGGCAATTCTGGGATGACGGAGAGGGGTATCCAGCAGGCAACAGACGATCACCGACAGCAAGAACCGTGGACCCCACATCCTTTTCCTCCTCAACTTGTCCTTTCTGTTCATCTGTTGTTGGAGTATAATATAAAATACTAAACTCTCTCACTGTCGGTCACAACGACCAACTTGTAGAAAATTAGAACAAAAGGAAATTTTGGGAATTCTCTATCGTTCCTATTATGCGTGAGTTTTCCCCCCTTGGAAGCTGTCATCAACATTAATTAATTAATGTTAACACATGATGTATGCAAGATGCGGTATTAACAAGGCAAAGTAATCAATTGCTGAGATATAATTATTTAAATAAATTAGTGGGTGTGCATCAATTCTGGCTTCCTTCCTCTCTTAGCTCTACAGCCTTCAGATAATGAAACACACATGGAGCATGAGCATCTTCACTAGCAGATCATGAAATTTGAGAAAACCATACAGAAAAAAGCAAACTTCTGTCGTGGAGTCGGCCATAGGCCATAGCCAACACGCTCGTCGCTTTCATCCATAGCCAACCCTACCAAGAAAACATGCAGATGCAATACATCCACACTAATTGCAGGAATTCGATTTAGTTACCATACAGACGGAAAAACCTCTCGACAAAACACACAGATGTTCCAAGCATCTCTTCCACATCAATGTCTTTAAAGAGATTCTCAATAAACCCATTTCTTCAAAATAAAACCCTTTACACAGGGAAAAACAAACTGTAGCAAGCATATGTTTGAGTAGAGATTCAACTAACAGTACCTCAGGATTACAAGTAAAACTTATTTCCCAGTGTTCGCCAGAACAATTCCAGCAGCAAAATACAAAAGCAGAGTCCACAAGAAGATGATCAGCAAGTTTAACAAGATTAAGTAGAGAAAAAGAATTGCCTTCACCTCCTAGTTCATCTTCGGCCGATGGGAAAAGCAACCAACGTTAACACGTCTAATATGGCCTACGCATTGCCTGTTTCTTCGGCTTCTTGACAAAACTTAGTCTAATCTGCTTGAGACGCCTCTTTTTCCTGGCTGTTTTTTCAGGCAGTGTTTCCCTCTTCTTCCCCTTCTTCACAGCCTTTGGCTTGGGCAAGTATCTAGGGTCAATCTTGTATTCTTTGGGCGTGACTGGTACTCCATTACTCACTGCTTCACTGTAGAGAGAATTTGCTTTATCCAGACGGTTACGAGCACACCAATTCTCCATCAACAACTCATAAGTCTTCAATCCAGGGTTGCAACCGTCTGCCTTCATCATCTCGAACACACCCATGGCATGCTCAATCCTCTCAATCCCACACAATATCTTCAAGAACCCATAATATGTTTTTATATCGAGCTTATCCCCATAACCAGCACTTTTCATCCTATCAATCATTTCATCTCCCTCTCCAACTCTTGCTGCCTGATACAAGCTCTTAATCAGCACAAGGAAAGTGGTGGCATTAGGATAACATCCCCACTCCCCCATCCTCTGGAACAAATCCATGGCCTCTTGTGTTCTCCTCAACTTGCACATGTTAGTGAACAGCACATTGAATGTCTCCACATCTCTAGGAATCCCTCGAACGTCCATCTCCACCAAAACTTTCTCAGCTTCGGCCTGCATCCTAAAAGGGTCCTTTTCCCTGCAGAGCTTACACACACAATCCAGAAGAGCATTGTACGACACGACACTGAGCTCAAATCCACCCCTGTATATCTCGCCTGCTAATCTTTTGGCCTCATCAAGTTTCCCATCAACACACCAACCTTTAATCAGCAGATCACAGATGGTCTCATCAGGGAATATCTCATTAGCTACATTTTTCACCATCTTCTCAGCGTAGTTCGCATGGCCATGATCACACAGCTTTCTGACCACCAAAGTAAGCGAGTCTCTATCGCGCTTAAACCCATAGTCTGCCTCCATCTTCCCAAAAAACTCCACAACCTGCTTAGGCCTGCCTGCCCTGACAAGCCTATCAACCATTGATTCGAACGTTCTAGACCCAATAACACCTTTCCCCTCCACCAGCAGTTCATGGGTGGCCTTAAAATCCTTCCGTCTACCAAAATAATCAATAAAAAACGATACTGTTTCATCCGTATGTTTGAAATCGAGATTACTGACCAGCCATTGGTGGAATCCTAGCACAGCGCGGCCAGCGTTGGGGGAAAGACTGAGCGTTTGCAGAATCAGAGAAGGAGTTATTGAGCCGGCGAGATGGGAGAAGCTTAGGCTGAGCCTCTGCGGGACTGGCAGGGAGTCGACGGTTGGATCTGTGAGCAGTTCGGCGGATAGAGACTGAGCTACTGAGTCTAGCTCCGAAATGGAAGCAGGGCTCGGGGATTGAGATGAAAAGTACCTCGTTGAGAAAGAAGCCGGAACAAAGGAAGATTTAGGGAGATGGGAGGGAGCGAAAGTGGAAGGGATGGACTGGTGAGCCGAAGCCGGCGGAGGAAGACGAGTAGGAGAAGATCTAGAGGTCAGACAATGGCGGAGAAGCCACCGGAGAGGCAGAGACGGCGACGGCGGCGGCATTTTTGCAAAGCGAAGGAAGCAAGCTTTGCAGAGAGGGGGAGGGGATGATTCCTAAAACCCTCAAAGTGGGCAAAGGTTACCTGGACTGGAGTCGCCGGAAAGCGAATCTGGCTGCTGGCGTTGAGGGCTCGGCAACTGGGCTATGAATTCCGGGGCCCAAGCCCAGTCCTCTCTCGAGTTTTTGGACAGACAGTGGTTAGGTTGGCAGGGTTCTATATTCTATTAGTTGGGCTGCTGATCCGAACTCAACCAATTTTCTTTTGGAGCCGGCATTGTAGAGGTACTAGTTTAATTCTAATTTATTATACATCAAATCAAGTTTGAGTAATTTTTTTTCCACATTCATTTATAATTTTTTAGTTTGAGTCTACATTGGAATCATAATTTTGAAAGTAAATAAAGGTAATCGATAGTGCTAACTAAAAGTGTCGTGTGGACTCATCCTTTTGGATTCGATATGCTCTGCAAGAATAGCTCTGCGCAATTAGCTCCGGCGGCCGTTTCCGCCCCGTCGGGACGGCCTCCGGACGATCCTAATTCAGGTACCGGCCCCTTGCCTTTAGCTGGGGAGAAGGAAGCGAATAACAATACCTCTGGATGTGAAGCGGCTGTCGACATGGTTGTGGAGGCAGTCGCGGAAACGGATCCAAATAAGTCGCCCATCTCGATCGGAGCCGGGAGTTCGAACCCCCCAGCCAGTAGACCTCAATCCTCTCAACCGACCTCCTATGTCGGGGTGCTAGCGGGGGGCAAGAATCCACCTACATCATCTGCAGTGCAATGGGTTCCTGTGGGAGAACATGATCTAATCACCGGTTTCTTTCAAGGCGAACCAGAGTTAAAGATTTCGGAGAAATTCAAATCTCAACTCAGCAAGCCTTGGCAGAGGACCCTTGTCGTGCGGCTTTTAGGGAGAACTATTGGGTATGCAACTTTGTGCAATAGGCTCCGTGCTCTTTGGAGACCTACGAGTGCACTGGAAATCTTTGCTTTGGACGAGGAGTGTTTTCTGGTCAAGCTCGGAAACGAGGAAGACTACTTCAAGGCGCTCACTGAGGGTCCGTGGACCATTTTTGACCACTACCTCCTGGTTCAACAATGGTCGACAGGATTCCGGGTTACGGACAGCCTACCTAAAACCATGGTGATCTGGGTTCAGTTCCCCGGCCTGCCGGTGCACTTCTACCACAAAGAACTCCTCTTCACTATGGGTAACCTCTTAGGCAGATCCATCAAGCTTGACTATCACACACAACATCAACAACATGCAAAGTTTGCAAGGATGGCTGTTGAGGTTGATCTATCAAAACCGCTAGTACCGAGGATCAGGTTAGACGGTCGGTGGCAGAAAGTTGAGTATGAAAATCTCCCTGTTATTTGCTTTGAGTGTGGGAAAGTGGGACATACGAACGTATCTTGCCCTTCCATTGAGCGAGGCACGAATGGTGAAACGGGCGGAGTTTCTCTGGCGTCGGCGGTGATTGTGGCCGACGAAGCTTCACCGGATGCTAACGCCGGCTTTGGACCGTGGATGATCGTCTCGCGTAAATCACGGCGAAAACAGAGGGATACGGCCATAGTAGGTAAGTCGGAGCAGTCTGTGTCGATCGCCAACGGGACGAAAAAAGGCGACGAAAGGAAAGAGGGCGAGATTACGGGAACAAAGTCATCACAAAAAACAGGGATCTCGCAGCACAAACATCGGCAACAAACAGGGGAGATGAAGTCGGCAAAAACAGAGGGGAAGGGAAAAGGAGTCTCGAAAGGTAAAGGGAAAGCGAAGGAACAGATAGGGGAGGCAGCAAAGGGCTTGCTAGGCCCAAAACCCACTTCGGGGGAGGCCTCCTCGAGCGGGCCGAGGCAAACGACGAATGAAACCAACAACATTACTCTGCTAAGCCGGGGTCCTGGGCTGCCCGTGAACAGTTCGAGTGGGCCTGCTGGGAATGCAGCGGATTCGGCTCTTCTAACCGGGCCAGTAACCCAAACCATTGAGGGCGGAAATGGAACCAAAATTCGTATCGTTGAAACGCAGTTGTATCAGCTGCCTGCTCCTCGGCTGATGAATCCAGAGACTCCTTCGGTGGTCTCCAGGACGAAATTGAAGAAAGAAGGTCGGGGCGGAGGTGCAAATAAGGCGGCGACACCCAGAAAAGGAACTCCGATCCGGCACAACCCCCTCAAGCCTCTGCAAATCTGGTCCCCAGTGAAAGAAAAGAAGGGCCGGAACAAAGAGAAGAGAGTTTCGCTTACCCTTCAACAAATCAAGGAATGGACAGAGACGTCAACGCCTAAGGCAGTGGCTGAGGTCGTTTTGACGAATAATGAGAAAGCAGTTAAGATGGCTGTGGAAACAAGTGGGACGGCGAGCAAGCCGACTGCCCTTGGCGCTTAATTCTCGGTGATTTCGTTCCTCTTGCGCCTTTTGGGTTCTTGGCTGTTTCTTTCTTTTCCCGCTTTTTAATGTCTGTCGATCATATGTCTGATTTCAAAATTTTTGCCTGGAATGTTGGGGGAGCTGGGAGCAATGCTTTTTCTCGCTCCTTGAAGCTTGCTCTCCAACTCCACAAACCTGACTTTGTTATTCTGATTGAACCGCAGATTAGTGGCGAGAATGCTAACAGAGTTTGTGATAGGATGGGGTATCCAGATGTCATCCGGGTCGAAGCTAACGGCAGAAGTGGTGGGATTTGGTTCTTATGGAATGCCAAGAATTTTGAAGTTTCTGTTGATTCTACAGGGTTCTAGCATCTGACCCTCTCGGTCTCTAAGGGTAATAGTCGCCGCTGGAAGCTTACTGCCGTTTATGCCTCTCCTCGGCAGCAGCTGCAGAAACTTCTCTGGAACTCCCTCATAGAGCAAAGTAAATCAATTGACTGCCCGTGGCTCCTGACTGGTGATTTCAATGCCATCCTGTCACCTCTAGAGACAACGGGTCAAGCGACTCCTAGAGTGTTGCGTCGCTGCAGGAGGTTCAACGATTGGCTCAATGAGGCGGAGCTGGTTGACCTTGGCTATTCCGGTCCGAAGCATACTTGGTGCAGGGGTGGGCAAGTGCAGACGTTCAAAGCTAGTAGATTGGATAGGAGTCTCTGTAACATCGAGTGGAGTGACTCCTTCCCAAATACGACTGTGGTACACCTGGTGAGGCTGAATTCGGACCACAACCCGATCCTAACGACGGTGCCGAGTCAGGGAGTTACCCACCCTTCTCCTAGACGCTTCAGATTTGAAGCAGCTTGGCTTACTCATTCTGATTTCCATGACTTTCTAATTGATAAGTGGAATGGGCAGAATAATAATTTCCCTACTGCTTTGCATGAACTCTCGGATAACTTGCAAAATTGGAGCAAGCAGGTCTTTGGCAATGTTTTTCAACGCAAAAAACGGTTGGTGGCAAGAATTGAAGGAGTTGAGAGGAAGCTAGTTGTCTCCTTCCATCCTGGTCTGGCCAAACTTCATTCCAAGCTCGAAGCGGAATTAGACAGAACCCTGGAGCAGGAGGAGCTATACTGGTATCAAAGGGCTCGGGAAAATTGGGTGAAGTTTGGGGAAAGAAACACAGCTTACTTCCACCAAATCGCCAACATCCGACGCCGGCTAAATAAGATAGAGTGCCTAAAAAAGGAGAATGGGGAGTGGGTGCAGGATAAACAAGAACTTGCTCAGCTTGTTTTTTATTTTTTCACTAACCTTTACCTGCAGGAGGACTCTCTCTACACTGATCTCATGCCGAAGGGGGCTTTCCCACGGCTGAGTCAGGAGGATTGGATGTGTTTACTGCGCCCTTTTTCGATCATTGACATTCATCAGGCTATCTTTGATATGAAACCTATGCAGGCTCCAGGTCCAGATGGTTTTCAAGCGGTCTTCTACCAGCAGGAGTGGCGGGTTGTTGGGAAGGCTCTCACAGACATGGCTCTCTCTTTTTTCGAGAATGGGAGTTTGCCTGCTGCCATCTCGGAGTCCACTGTTGTGCTCATTCCTAAAGTTGAGAGACCGGAATTTGTTCACCAACTCAGGCCGATTTCTTTGAATAATGTGAGCTTGAAGGCTATTACTAAGGCGATGACGAGCAGGCTGAAAGGGGTCATGAAGAAGCTCATCTCGCCCCGTCAAAGCAGCTTCATTCCAGGACGACAAACCTCGGACAACATCTTAGTCGTTCAAGAAGTGATGCACTCCCTAAGGAAGAAAAGAGGGAAAAAGGGTGGTATGGTGATTAAGATTGACTTGGAGAAGGCGTATGACAGGCTCCGATGGGACTTCCTGAGAGATACTCTGATCGAAGTTGGTCTTCCTAGCTCTTGAATTCGATGCATTATGTTCTGTGTTGAACAGAACCGCATGAGGATTCTCTGGGATGGCGAGCTAACCCAACCCATCACTCCCACGAGGGGAGTAAGACAGGGAGATCCACTCTCTCCTTATCTTTTTTGTTCTTTGTATGGAACGCCTCTCTCACAGGATAGATGAGGCCGTCCGCGCTAAGCTTTGGAAACCCCTAAGCATAGCGCAGGGCGGGCCGGGTCTTACTCACCTTTTATTTGCCGATGATTTGATTCTTTTTGCAGGAGCGGAAGGGTCGCAAGTTAGAATTGTTCGCCAATGCCTTGACGAGTTCTGCGAGAGCTCTGGGCAGAAAGTGAACTACTCCAAGTCAATGATGTACATCTCGCCCAACGTCAATCCGCTGCGCGCACAGAGATTGAGTGACAAGGCTGCCATTCCCTTGACTAAGGCCCTGGGACGGTATTTGGGGATTCAAACCATCCATGGCAGAGTCACTCGGAGCAGATACCAGGAGTTGATTCTGAAGATTCAAAGGAAGCTGGCCCCTTGGAAGGCAAAACGGCTATCTCTAGCTGCGAGGCTGACAGTTGCTCGATCTGCATCCTTGGTTATCCCTACTTACACCATGCAGACTGAGATGATTCCTGTCAATGTTTGCAAAACCATCGACAAGATTAACAGGGATTTCATCTGGGGGAAGGAGGAGA